AAATCAAGAAAATGAATAATTAATTATATATAATTAATTACAATAGTTATTAAGTTTAAATATATTTTTCAGAAATCGATCAAATAAAAACTGAAATTTTCCGGAAAATCTTGTTTGGAGATCATTTGCACCCCCATGCCCCCCTCTCGCTACGCCACTGCTAACTTGCTTGATAATGTGTCTAACACTTTATTTGAGGCACATCCATCCTGTGTCCCTTTCTTTCCTTTGAGAGTTCGCCCTGTTATTGAGGAATTTTCTCTCTCTGATATGTTACCCCAAGCAAGGCAGAATTTTGAAATTCCCACCTTGGGAAAGTTCACAGATCCAGCTTATTTATGTTTTCGACCATCACTCGAAGGCAAGTACAGACATCATCTACAGACTGCTCTTTGCTAAACACAGGCCTAAATATAGCAGTTATCATCTGATATATACTGTTTGTTTTAATTGTAATGTTTGTGAAAGCCGTTCAAGTATCCAGGCCCTGCTCTCACCTGTCACCTATCAGTCCATCATATTTTAATTGAGTGTCCATGTTTTAATAGTTTTTGTCAGAAATATTTTAATAGTTGTGACTTGCCTTTTGACCATTTAATCGTAAGAGAGGTGAATTGTAATTTCTTTTATTTAAAAGAGACTGTTTTATTACCTAATCTAATCTGATTTGAAAATTGTGTATTTTAATGTGTACCACTTGTAGGCTTTTATCTTGTTTTTATGTGACTTCATCCTCTGGATTTGGTGCATTTGTCCACCTTCCTATTTTATTGAGTAATAATTTGTTTTGAATTCATCAAATTAGGTCATTCTACCTCGCATTTGGTGCATTATAATCATCTTTGGTTTTGCACCAACAATCTCTCTCACTGACCCGTATTTTTCATGTAAAATTTGAGTTGCTCTGTTTTTTTATTATGAAGTGTACTATTGAAAGAAAACATCACTTTTGTATCTGTATTTATTATCCCTTAAAACTGTACAGTTGGTTTCATTTATTGCTATTCCTGGATTAACTAAATGTAGTACTAGATTGATAAAATTCAGTTGTTTAATTTTGTTAAGTAACTCTTCATTTAATGCTTAATCAGCTGGAATGCTGATAGTGAAATTTACTTGTGCTTGAACAATTTACATATTTGTCACAGCTTCCTCGTGATTCTTCAGAGGATTTTGTTTTGTGCTGTTTAGTAAAGCAGTTTCAGATACAAGAGCTCAAAAATTTTATTAATAATAAATTCTCCTTATCTTGTCGTGCTTCTGTATTAAAAGGCATTAAAGTCAAATACCGAAAATTCGCCGACCTGAATTCCGCTTTGCCTCTCAAAATATAAACATTTAGTTTATAGGTTCCGGAAACCGCAACATGGAGTGTGAAATATCGAAGAAAAAATACTTACTGGATAATAATGTCATAATTACCGAATAATAATGAGTCATAACGGAAATACCAAATTATTGATATCATGATAAAGAGTTTTCCCCCTCCAATCTGCATCGAGGTAAAAAAGCAGACGATTAACTCAACTCTTCTTTCAAGTTCAGGCTTCATGTTGTTGTACTTTCTGAGCTTTATTCCACAAGATTGTTTAGTGATGTCATTTTTTTTAATCCAGGTATTTTGTGGATAAATTAAGAATATTTTAAATTTCAGCACTTTTTAATACAATGACAGATTAGAAATACACTCGTGATTTTACTGCTTGCAACGTTGACACGTTTCATTGATGGTAATGAAATAGGTGTAAATTCTGCTAAAGATGGAGGTAAAAGCTTCTGCTCGGTTTACAGCAGAATCGTATGGAATTGCTACACAGACTGTGTATGATATACAAAACAATAAAGAAAAGCTGTTGAAATTTTACAGCAACAGTGATTTTAACAACAGAAATCTTTACATGAGGCGAAATCGGCAAACCTCGATGCTGTCTTGTACGAGTGGTTTCGGCAGCAGCGGAGTGATGGGATACCTATTTTAGGACTACTCCTGAGAGAAAAGGGGAAGCAGATTCATGCTGATTTAAAAATAGAGGAGCCTAATGTAAATGAACAATATAATATAATCAGTTTATATATGTAATACAGGGTTGGTAGTGGTCCTTACAAGTGCTTATAAGTCCTTATATTTGAAAATAAAATATAAAGGCCCTTACAGGTCCTTATTTTTTTTGTTTTTAGTGCTTTTTATTAATCCATCTTTTTAATAAACGCACATTTTCCCCCCGTACCAAAGCCGAAACTAAATAAACAACTTTTCTACCTTATATGCAACGTCAGATAGTGAATCATACTCCCGGAAATTGCTTCCCCCCTTTCTCTGCATTAACGTAACCTATGGTGCGCGCGAGAGTATAGACAGGTGCACGTCGTTCGTATTGGTCAAAGAATTGCGAAAACCGGTAGAAAATTTCCGGTAATTCGGTATTCTTTTCCTGCCCACCCATAATACTACAACACATTTGGATTTCTATCAAGATTTTAATAATTTGCATTCTCGTTCCGTGTGGTCAGTTCATATTCGTGTTTATTATAATCGTTATGCTTATATTATGAGCATACGCATGAATATTTATAATAATATAGTTGCAGTAACTGCTTAAGTATAGATAAACTTCCAAAAATGGGTGTGTTTTTAGACAGATTAGCTTTCTAAGGAATAATATTCGGAATGGCTTAAATAAAAGGAAAGTAATCGAATAGTCAAAAAAAAAATTTTTTTCCAGTACATTAATTTAGCCAAGAAATCTAAAGAACAGCTACAATCTCCCCCACTCCTCTTTTTCCAGTTACTATCTGGAATATTCGGCAATTTCCGAGTATGCGGTTTAGTTAAGCTTTTACTGTTAAAGGATGACTGCATGAAGCAATTTCCAGTCTTCTGGTTTCAGAAATGTGCCTCTTTTTTACTTAAATTACTTTGCTTGGAATATATGTTAAGGAAAAACTGTTATGCAATGAAAATTTAGAAAATGTTCAGAATTTTGATTTAAGTTAAATTATTTAAATATTAATATGAGTGGAAAAATAAATTGTATTTATTATTAGGTGCCAAACGAATACAATTAATATGGCTTATTATTATTTATTTTCTATATTTTGAACTGAAATTTCATCATTAAATCTTGTAATGTAGTTTAGTTCTGCATAGTTTTTTTTCCTCTCATTGTAAACTAATTCTGTAAATTGAACTGTCATTTAAAATTAAAAAAAAAAAAAGTTAATTGTTTTCCATGGTTGAGGTAATGGTCATTCTCTTAATAAATATTGCATTGCTCATATTTTAAATTACAAGTCTAATTTTTCTTTTAAGGTTATGCAGTTGTGTATAATGTAATTAGGTGCTTATTTTTTCCTTAAAATATGCTTGAAAAATGCTTATAGGTGCTTATTTTTTTAACTAAAATGTGGCTACGAACCCTGTAATAATAATTTTAAGCATATAATTAATTAATGTATATATATAATTTAATTAAATGTATCTAATATGCCTTATTTATTTTGCACTTTTAGTCTGAATATTATCTTTTCTGTCCTGAAATCCCCCAAATCCTAAAATCCGCACAACCTCTGGTCCCAAGTGTTCCGGATTTCTGGACTTCTACTGTATAACCAACTTAAAGCTTCTGAATGAGCTGTCATATCTAAATACTGGTTCATTAATAAGTTGTTTAATATTTGCTGTTAAATTCAAGTCATTTTGTTAGTTAATTTTTAATTTGTTTCTTATTTCTATCAAACACAGTTTAAATTTCTCATAAGTGTTTTGTACATCCTTTGTATTGTTTGTAAAAATAAATGGTAGTAGTACTACAGAAATTCTCAAATGAGCAAACTCTCAAGTTTTTCTACTCTTTTCAACTTGCTAATTGTGCAGTCCACTCAGTAACATTAAAGAATACCTCTACTCCAGCTGGGTATTTATTATAAGGTATTTGAACAAGCCCAATAAATATAAGAATATGTGATGCATTAGTCAACATATTTTAAAGCAATGTAAAAAAATCTTATCACCATATCTTAATATGTAATTAAATAAAATAAACTTGTGCAGATTAAACTAAACGCTTAATGAAGTACATAAATGTAATTCGGTATTTCAGAGAAACTGCTTAAGTCACAGCATCAATGTTATAGTTCCTTTACTTGATCTGTGTAATTTTATGCTTGTTCACTGTCAACAGGTATAGTTTGCTACTGAAGAATGTAATTTAATATGCAGGTGTATGCTAAATACTTCTCTTACTCTGATACGTGAAATATTTTATTGTAAAACTTATGGTTATTTTTGTCAAACTTTAAAAAAAATTTTTTTTTAAATTAACCAACAACAATAACAAAAAGATTTAATGTTGCCGCTGCTTTTTAACTTGATGATGACACAAGAAATCTATGTGACACTGCAAATCAATGGAATACATATTTTTGTTTCCTAGGTTCCACGAGGTAGGCAAATTGTTACATAAAAGGGCTTTCTTTGCATATGCTTTGCTGAGCCTTGTTTTTTTTAATTCTAGTTAACTATGAATAAATCTTGATTACACCTTATTAAAGCTTTTATTTTTTAATCGATATTCTGCTGATATTATATCATTCCATTTCTGTTTAATGAAACTTTGTGATGGCCATGATTTGACCATATTTTTATCCTGCTATCTTACTTAAAATCATGTATGTTAATCAATCTGCCTTCTCTCTATTCATTGTGCATCTTCCTCATTTCAGATCAGCCTGCCTCTAATAGTCTCTTCCCATGAGGCTTGTTTTAGGGCTGCTGTTCTTTTCTTGATGCCAAGACTCAATCTAGTGGCACTAAATAATTAACAAAACTGCCCCTTGAATATTTAAGAGTTTGTCAAATATTTCATTGTAACATAAAATCAGTTTCCTCAACAAGGCTAATATTTGAAACTTTACATAAAATTTTTTGCATGCTCAACTTTTTATTATTGCATATGAAGAATTTATTAACTTGAAATTTAAAAAGTTTTTTTCCCTTTCAGGTTGATCTGAGACAAAAAAGTATTCTTACTGTATATGATGGAAATTTTCGTGATTCGACAAAGAAAATACCAATTTCTTATTCAAAGGAGTTCAATCTTTTATGTGCTACTGGAAATGATTCCATTACAAGATTTTGGACTTTCGATAAAGGAAAACTAATTAAAAAACTTGAGAGTCGTCATCCTTCACGTGCCTGGCTAAAGAGTGATTATAATAAATGTTTTCTTTATGTTGTTGAAGGTGCTAAAGTTCGTGTCCATAAGATTATATGTCGATGTTAATCATGCAGTTAAACTTTCTGTACTTGAAATGTATTTGATTATTCATAAAGCTATCAAGTGTCAATCTCTGTACTTTTGCCATAATATTTTTTTTTTTTTAACTTTGTGATCAATTGTGTAGTCTGTCAAATGTGCATTATATTTTGTATGCAGCAAAGAAAGTACCAGTTCCATCCTTATTCAGAGGAGTTCAGTCGTTTCTGTGCTTGTGGAAGTAAGATTTTGGTCATCAGATGATGGAAATATCAAACAACTTCATAGTAATGATCCAAATCCTTTACGTTCTTGGTTGCTGAGTGCAGAAAATAGATGTTTTATTTATGTCATTGAAGGTGCTAAAGTTCATATACGTAAGATTGCATGCCCATGTTAATGATGTAGTTAATTCCTTTACTTGGAATGCGTTTGATCATTCATAAAGCTGTCAAGTGTCAATACCTTCCAAACCATTTTTCTGTTGCCTTTTTTAAAACTTTTTGGTTGATTGTATATTCTGTATTGTTTTTTTTTCTGCTTAGTTGTATTTTGAAATAAATAGTTAAATGTAATATTTGTTTTATTTGCTGCTTTAGTTGAAATGACACATAATTCGTATTAGTTGTATGAAAATTAAAGTATAGTATTATTGCGTGCGTGCGGATTCGTTACGAAATAAATGCACAAGTCCAATGAAAAATGAACAAAAAAATTTGTTATTATCACAAAATACTTAAATTCCCTGATATTCTTTCAGTTTTACAATATCTCACAGTAGTTATCTTCTAACTACTCAAACATTCAAAAGAACTTAATTCAAAATAGTTAGAGAAGCTAATCTGCGAATTTGCTACAGTCAACAAGAGCAGTTTTCTAAACAACAACAAACTAAGTAACTACTACGAACTGAGAGGTTTTCCTCCTTTTATAAGATTTTAAAATGAGTGTGAAATGCGTGTGAGAATTTTCAAATGCGTGTGAAATTTTAAAATGCATGTGAGAATTTTCTAGTACTTTCTCGAAATCAAAAAGAGATATTACTAAATGTTAAAATGCACACGCTCTTGTATTTTCAATTTTCCGGCTTAGCTTTCTTTTAATATTCATCACACGCTGCACTGCGGGAAATAAAACCATTTAATTTACAAGTCCACTAACATTAGCTGTTTAAATACCAAATTCGTAACAGTATTTTACTTATGCAAGTTAAAATTTGGGAAGACAGCAACCTTATTTTGTTCCTTCTGAAGAAGAAGGACCTGTGTCTGATCACCCTTAAAACTGGTAGTTTTATTTAAAATATATACCAAAATAAAGTTGCTTTTCCCCCTAATTTTAAGTTTTACATTTCTGTGTTTCTCTTTCTACTCGTAGCTAAAATTAATTTTTTGTTCATGCAAATCCATATAGAAACAAATTTTTTTGTGTTTGGTGTTTGACTTGCCACTGTGATGCAAAGTCATCTAGTATATATATATATAACATCATTACAGATAGCACAATGAAGCCTGTGAGAACTATAATTATCAGTTGGCATTGATTTTGTGTAATTCTAATTTCATAAAAAATAGGACTTGTATAAAATGGGATATTTATAATAATACAGTACTAAATTAAATGATAGCAACTTAAAAGCTTCGCTTTTCGCTTGTAGTCACCAAAATGCCACGCCTTTTACAGTGTATTAACCATTTCCAAATGGGTGATGAGCATCCTATTCCCTAGGAATGTCTCTTACAGCTGGCGTCCTACCCATGCATCATTGGAGAACTAACATAGGAGATAGGTGGTATTGCATTTTAAACTGAAACATTTTTCAAAGACTACTAGATGCCATTATGTGTCCTTTTCTTTTGAACTTATTCTGTCAGTCTGATTACATTCTGCATAACGGTGTCAGCTGTTGCAGAGGACGGAGGAAAAGTGTAATGTAAACAGAGCTTGGACTCTTATAACTTGCCACATGATATAAACATCTGTATCTCTGATATCCCTTTGAATCCTTTTATTATTATTATTATTATTTTATTCTTTTTTCCTATTATATAGGGCTTTTTAGGGTTAGAGTGCGAGGTTCTATTACACTTTGCATCGCTTTTATTGCTTATGTTTTGCATACTTCCCTTTTTATTTCAGAAAGCCTAGACTTTCATTTATTATGATGAGCAAGCATTATTTGTCAAATAAAAGATATTTTCGCGAGCAACTCGACGATTGTATAAATGTAATTTCTTTAAAGGTTAAAATTTTACGGTTTGGCAACATTGTATCGTTTTTATGTTTTACAATAAATAAAGCAAAAATGCACCATGACTTTGTATTAAGGTGGATTGCCTGTTTTATAGTGAATTAATTGGGTGGATTGCCCGTATTACTTAATTATAATTTCTCTTTACGTTTCTTTTAATGGAGTACCGACTGAATGGAGAAAATTCAGGTAGAGTCTCGTAACAGATATAAAATGAGCCAGTTAGTGACATGGATGTTTTCGAAAGAGTTAGAGAGCGATATTTCCAGTGATTCCTGTCCGGACATTTTGTCAAAGACTGAACTTGCTGAGTATGTACCTTTGACTTCTCCTGAAAGTTTTTTTTTTACTTCTTGTAAATAGTCTTTCTTGAAATTTTTTTTTTATTAATGTATTTTGTTGATCAAAATTTATTTCTGAAGGTAAGCAATTTTTTTATACATTTTCATGTAAAATAAAGAAAAAGAATTTTAACATATATTATTGTTAAAATTATATTAAATTGCTTAAGTAATAATCTAAAATAGTACCAAACATTATGATGTTAGGACTTGAACCTTTTTTTGTGTTTGTGTGTGTGATTTTTTTCTAAAGTTAAACCCCTATCCTGTGGGATGAGTCCTTTCAACTCCCATTTGTCCCAAGTGGGTGTCTTAAATAAAAGTGCACCATTTCAAAAGGGTTAAAAAAAGGGAGAGAAGGTGGTTGATTAGCCATTTAATATGAAATCAAACTACTGTGGCAGAGAAATCCTCTTTGCAGTGAGTGCAACATTCATTTTTGCTGTGCAGTATGCACATGTGCTTGCCATAACACAAGGATAAAAACTTGACTTTTTCTTTGAGACTTATTACTTGCATCTCACTTTTATTCCTGATGTCTGTCGTTAGTTCGTGTGCATGCATGTTATGTGATTTTGTACGAAAGTCTCATCTCCATTATAAAATCTTATGGTTCATACCTTAACCTGAATGACGTATGCTACAGTTTTACATGCTGTTGGAGGAAGTTTTCGAAAAACCTGGACGGATTTTGTGATTTAACTTTATGAAGAATGTAGCTGAAGATTTTTATCAATGTGTGTCATGCTAAAACAGGATTACCTTTTTAAATTGTCAGTTTTGTGAATGCAGGCTGGATTAAATTATTTTTGTGATTTTTTTTTTTTGGAATTTAAGAGATAGTATTTTTTTAAATATTTTAAACTGATAGTTTTATTGGATTTTTGAAAGGTAGACTTTCTTTAAAGTGTATTTTTAAAAGAAAATATATTTTATCATGTGTTCTTGGCATTCATTGGAGTCTGCTTCTGCTTATTGTTAATGTGTACAATATATTTTTACGAATTGAATACTTTACATTTTGTTAATATTCTTGTATTTTTCATTCTCATGTGTAACCCTACTATTCAAAGATGTGTGATAGGGCTTCTATCCTTTTATAGCGTGCTTTAGTATGTATTGGTATTTTTATCTTGTTTGGAATTAGGATTGTACATCTTTTCTGAATTTTATAGTCATGTGTCTTAATGAAGCTTCTACTAGTGATTTTCCTAGACTGAAAATACAGCAGCTTTGCAGGTATCGCATGTTTCAGTAAAATTGCCACCTTTTTGAAAAACAAGCCCTTCAGCAATTATAGTTTTTAGAATAGAATCACAGTTTTCCCTTTCCAATATTACTTTGGATTTAAAAAAAATTAACCATGCTTTTGCTGCTGTGGATTCTGATATACTTAATTCTGTTAGTAATATCATTTTAAAACCTCCTGCTACTGAAAAGTATGATATTCTAAAACAAAGATTGATTGCAATACATTCTGAAAGTGAAGCGTCGAAATTTTATAATCTGTGGCAAGGTGTTGGGCATGGCAACTAGTGCCCTTCTCAGTTGTTGACTCATATGTGTGCTTTAGCTGGTGATACCGTCGGTGATCCCTTGTTTGATGATCTTTGTGGCTTGCCAATAATACATAATCTATTTTAGCTTCTGTTATTAAAGATAATTTGGGTAAATTGGCTACGGTCACTGATAAAAATACTGAGCTCCCATCTCACTCGTATGTGAATACAGCTGGCATTTGAGCTAAGTGAATCTACTACAACTCATTTGGAATTGCAGGTAGCACATTTGACAAAACAAGTTGGTGAGTTAACCTCTGTCTTCGGCCATAATTTTTGTAGTCCTGAGCACAATTTTTACCATTGATAATGGCACATTAGGCCACGCAAACACACTAATTGCTATAAAGAGCTAACAATGACTTTTGTTTCTATCATGTAAATTTTGATGAGCTTGCAAGGAAATGTCAGTCTCATTATTCCTTTTGTAAAAAACGGGAAATTTCAAATCACATGGTGGCTAAGGTGGTAATCACTGGGTGAATTGTATACTGTTGGCCGATTCCTTGTCAATTCCTTGTTAGCTGGCACTTGAGCTAAGTGATTCCCTGTTAGCTGGCACTTGAGCTAAGTGAATCTACTACAACTCATTTGGAATTGCAGGTAGCACGTTTGACAAAACAAGTTGGTGAGTTAACCTCTGTCTTCGGCCATAATTTTTGTAGTCCTGAGCACAACTTTTACCATTGATAATGGCACATTAGGCCACGCAAACACACTAATTGTTATAAAGAGCTAACAATGACTTTTGTTTCTATCATGTAAATTTTGATGAGCTTGCAAGGAAATGTCAGTCTCATTATTCCTTTTGTAAAAAACGAGAAATGTCAAATCACATGGTGGCTAAGGTGGTAATCACTGGGTGAATTGTATACTTTTGGCTGATTCCTTGTCAATTCCTTGTTAGCTGGAACTTGAGCTAAGTGAATCTACTACAACTCGTTTGGAATTGCAGGTAGCACGTTTGACAAAACAAGTTGGTGAGTTAACCTCTGTCTTCGGCCATAATTTTTGTAGTCCTGAGCACAATTTTTACCATTGATAATGGCACATTAGGCCACGCAAACACACTAGTTGCTATAAAGAGCTAACAATGACTTTTGTTTCTATCATGTAAATTTTGATGAGCTTGCAAGGAAATGTCAGTCTCATTATTCCTTTTGTAAAAAACGGGAAATGTCAAATCACATGGTGGCTAAGGTGGTAATCACTGGGTGAATTGTATACTTTTGGCCGATTCCTTGTCAAGATTAAAATATTTGATACTGGGGCAGATGTGTCGGTGTTACCAAAGAAATATGCCCAGCATTGTAGGCTTTTTCAGGATTTGGTTTTGTTCACTGCAAATAGAACTAAGAATCACATTTGGCACTAAATGTATGTCTCACCTTTACTTCGTTGTTTGTCATAGCAGATGTGAATCA